AGGAACAGTTGACTGAACAGCGATCGGTGGTACGTCTGACCATAGAATCCATACAATAATTACTCTAAATCAAGTTCTTCTCAGAAGTTGTAGCAGCAGTAGTCATTGTATCAATCGTATCCTGTTTTTTCCCTCTATATTATAACGGATTTAAACATACACACACACACACACACACACACACACACACACATATATATATATATATATATATATATATATATATATATATATAGACCAGTCGGCACTTGGTGGTTTTTTTGGTCAGCACTACGCCGCCCGCCTTTACTTTCCAGGACTTGATCTGGTACCAACTGAACACTAGGTCGACCTGAGAGCCAAGGTCATTTAGGAAAAAATGAAACAAATCTGGCTCCGTCAGATGTCTACTGCAGAACCTGAACCTCGACTGTCAGATCCGTAGGCAAGCGTCTAACCGCTGCACCAATGCGGCTCTCTATTTTAAAAGTGCTTCTCAAAGAATCCCAATATTCAGATGTGTAATCTGCCTCTGTGGGTTTTCAACGGGACATAAAATATTCTTGTGTTTTTGGAATATATGAATGTTTCGTATAAAAACGTGTCTTCTTGTGATGTTTTTTTTAAAATCCTCCCCAGTAGTTGTTGTGAGCTTTTTACTTTTAGTGATAACATAAATATGAGATGGAATGTTGACTGTTGAATTAGGAATTGATATCAAAGCACCCGAGACACTCCCATTAGCGCTCTGTCCCGATCTTCAGCAGCAAGGGAGAAGTTCCAATTCCGATAGAACTAGTAAATGTCTGATCGTGTATCCGTCTCGCCTCTACCTTGAATACTGAGCGTCGGCCACTCCTCGCAACGCCAGTCTTCTCAGACCGTGATAATCTATCTGCGCCTCCGCACTGTTCACTTGCTCCCAAAGGGCACCCACAATATCTGTCTTGTCATACATCATCTCACCGCCAAGTGGTGCGGAGCCCATCAATATATCTGCCTGCCTGCTCATTTACCAACACACTGGCATACCTGGAGGGAAAAAAAATCTCAAGGATGCTAAATACCGGGGACCTCTGTAATGTGAGAAATTACAGGCAAACTGATATAACAAAGAAATACAATACAAACGGTGACTAGAAAGTTCAACGGCTGGAAAAGAAAAAAAAAATAGTACTTAATTTTTCGTGACGTTAATTTTTTAGTCACAGTTTGTGTCTTCTTCAGTACTTCTATTGATCTTGATGTTTTCTTCACCGAGAAAATCTCTAACCAAAACTATTATTTTGTTCGTGATGAAAGCAGTTGTGTTTTTGTAAACTTCCGACAATTTCCTAAATAGAAACAAGATTTAACCAACATGAGGAAATAGAAGCATAGCAGTATTTTAAAGGATTGGAGCAAGTATTTTCACTCTCTGGGGCAGAAATACAGGGATATTTCAAAGAGTAGGTAGAAGTAAGGGTTCTCAGAAGCTTGGGAAGAAATGACAGAAACAGTTTTAAAACAATAGGTTTACGTTTTTCCCCGTGACATTAGGGTGGGTGTTTGTGTTTGTTACAGGATAATTAAAGTGATTTCATTACACACAACAGAGAAAAAAGTTGTCTTTGGTAAACTGTTGTCGGAGGCATTTTGAGAGTCACTGTTGTTTTTTCTGTGTGAATTTGATCAAACTTGACATGTACTAAAAGATGTCCAAAATACTTCCTAATTTGTACTTATAATCTTCTTCTTCCCAAAGTCCATGCCGTGTGGCGTTGGTAGTCATTTCTATCCACAACCTTCTGTCTCGTGTACTTTCAGTCAACTCTGACACAGATAACCACCAACCCATCAAGTCAAACTGTCCTGCATCTATTCTCTCGGTCTCCACCTGCCTCTTTTTTTCTGGGGCCACTCTTTAAAACTTTGTGGTGTATAAATTAGGAAGTCTGTTTAATTTCTTTACAAGTAAAATTCAAAGAATATAATTTTTGTTTTAAATATATCCGGTGCTCCTCACGTGTGAGTGCTTATATTTTTGTAGGGTGTCACTTTTCTAACAGTCTTCAGCAAAATGAAACTCACTGAGCACGTCCCTTCAGATAAGACGGGTTTTTAAGCTCCCACTGTCGCCCACGGCATTTGTACTTTCTGCCGTATCCTAGGTACTCCATTGATACTGATATTTGTAAATGTCCATCACTGGTTATGTTGTGTTATATTAAGTTTTTCTTTGTTCCGAGTTACTAACAATTTCCTGACGCATGAAGAAGTTTAACCACGCTCGTAGTTTTGTAATGGTATTTAACTCATTGATAACTAGTCCCGTAAAGCACGGCCATGCAACCGAATCGTTCTTGCAGAAGCCTAGCCAGATGCTTCACCAAACAGAAGCCTAGCAAGAAACTCCACCAAACAGAAGCCTAGCAAGATGCTCCACCAAACAGAAGCCTAGCAAGATGTTCCAACAAAAAGAAGCCTAGCAAGATGCTCGCCCAAATAAAAGCCTAGCAAGAGGTTCCCCCAAACAGAAGCCTAGCAAGATGTTCCACCAAACAGAAGCCTAGCAAGATGTTTCACCAAACAGAAGCCTAGCAAGATGCTCGACCAAACAGAAGCCTAGCAAGATGCTCGACCTAACAGAAGCCTAGCAAGATGCTCCACCAAACAGAAGCCTAGCAAGATGCTCCCCCAAACAGAAGCCTAGCAAGATGTTCCCCCAAACAGAAGCCTAGCAGGATGCTCGACCAAACAAAAGCCTAGCAAGATGTTCCACCAAACAGAAGCCTAGCAAGATGCTCGACCAAACAGAAGCCTAGCAAGATGCTCGACCAAACAGAATTCTAGCAAGATGCTCGACCAAACAGAAGCCTAGCAAGATGTTACTCTAAACAGAAGCCTAGCAAGATGTTACTCTAAACAGAAGCCTAGCAAGATGCTCGACCAAACAGAAACCTAGCAAGATGCTCGCCCAAGCAGTCAAATAAAAATTATTGTAAAAAAATTTTTTTTTGCCTTTGCTGGGACTCGGAATTCTTTTTTTTTTTTTTTTTGTGATCTCCATTTTAGAAATTTTGGTTGTTAGGTAAACACATATATATATATATATATGCCCGGCTCTCTAGCGTAGTTAACTAAACCGGATTGCTCGGTGACCGGGTGACAAACTCCTTGTGGTCCGCGTTCAATCTCGGGGGTAGGCAGGAAAGCCACATTTCTCCTAGATTTACGGTATTTAAAATGGAATCAGGGCCGAAAGGTTGCGATATCCATAATACCGAGCCTAAGGGTTCACAACACATGGCTTCTGGATACTAAAACAAACAAACAAACATATACACACACACACACACACACACACAAAGATCATGGGTTCCGGTCCTGACAGAGCCGGACTGTTATTCAAAAATGACATTGGCTGCCAGGTCGACCCAGCCTAAAGTGGCTACCAGGTATAGTCACGGGAAGTAAAGGCGACCGGCGTGATACTGACCCCATCATCGATCGAGTGCCAATATTCTTTAATGTATAGTTCTAGCCCTATATGCCCAATATGCGTGCAGGCGTTCAAAATGGTCCTTTGTGATATGTATATATATATATATATATATATATATATATATATATATATATATATATATATATATATATATATATATATATATATATATTAAAAACACGTAGATTTCCAGTAACATAATTTTGACATTCAAAATCTTTGTAATTCAAAGAGTGAGAATGCTTAAATTTTATACAAAAAATACCTTATGGTTCAACCAATAAGTTTACAGTTCTGTTGCATCTGCTTCGTTGATAATTTTTAGGCCTATAGGCTTTCCATTTAACTATACAAAGCGCCATTGGATAACTTTGAGTTTTTTTTATTTTCAAACAGGATAGCAACATTGAAAATCAATGCGTTTTTTAAATTTATAAGTGTATATATATATATATATATATATATATATATATATATATATATATGTGTGGTGTGTGTGTGTGTGTGTGTGTGTGTATATATATATATATATATATATATATTTATATATATGTGTGTGTGTGTGTGTGTATGTGTGTGCACAATAACCAGTTTAATAATGGTAATAGATTATTAGTAACTATTATGTTACTTAAGTTACTTTTACATGCTTTATTTCCACAGATCAGCCCTAATTTCAGCAAAAAATTGTAACTGGCCTTAGTTTTATTTCAGTTTGGCTTAAACAGATTCCCAAGTGCAGTGACATTTTGTGCTGCTTGTATTCGAATGTTTCGTATCATGAATTGTTCCCTCATCTTTGTTTACATTACTGCTAAAATACATATGTGATTCCACCTCTTGTAGCGGGGTTTCAAAACGGGTGTATTGGATTACCCTTAGCCTCTTTTCTTCACCCTATTAATTATCATCATCATCATCATCACGATCTTCTTCTTTTCTTCTTCTTCTTCTTCTTCTTCTTCTTCTTCTTCTTCTTCTTCTTCTTCTTCTTCTTCTTCTTCTTCTTCTTCTTCTTCTTCTTCTTCTTCTTCTTCTTTTTTCTTCTTCTTCTTCTTCTTCTTCTTCTTCTTCTTCTTCTTCTTCTTCTTCTTCTTCTTCTTCTTCTTCTTTTTTTCTTCTTCTTCTTCTTCTTCTTCTTCTTCTTCTTCTTCTTCTTCTTCTTCTTCTTCTTCTTCTTCTTCTTCTTCTTCTTCTTCTTCTTCTTCTTCTTCTTCTTCTTCTTCTTCTTCTTCTTCTTCTTCTTCTTCTTTATCTGTGATCGCCTCAAGGTCCAACACTTTTGATTTCAGAAAAAAAAAAAACAGTATTATTTGATTTTTAAGACATGCTTTTTAGGGTGGGGATGTGGGAGGTCTCTTGCCCCCCCCCCCCCCCTTTTTTTTTAATCTAGAAAAAAGACCCCACAACCCAGACAGAAAGGTTTGCCTCTTTTATTTTTATTATTTTTATTGTCTCTGTATTGATCTTGACATATGTTTCAGAAGTGCCTAAACGGTATTGGTATTCGTGATTTGCGAACTGGCCATTCTTCCCAATGTTCAGTGACAGTTTACAGCTAGACGCCCGTGGCAATGGACATCATTTGCAAATGCAGATCAAAAGGTTATTAAATAATTTGGCTTTTAACATTGCTAATCACACACACACACGCACACACACACACACACACATTACACACATTCGTAGCCAAACGGGTGGGTTTGGGTGGGGGATGGGTGGAGGGAGAAGCAGGTGTAGGAGAAAAAAGAGACATTTTCTGAAGTTTGATAATAATGTTAATAACATATTTGCAGGAGAAAAAAAAGGAGGGGGGGGGGGAGCAGGGGGATACTGGAACAACTACATTTAATAAAAAAAAATAATACTAATCAAATTTAATCCCGTTACCAACAGACAGTACACAGGGAAGAACAGTAATGCACCGACTAAGCGGGAGTCCAAAGAATGGCCACCTTCGCAATAGACAAACAAATATACAAATTACAGGAATGGACACTAAAATACTTCTCAATATCAAACAAGAAAGAATTTAAACAAAAACAAACAAAAATCAATTAAAGAAGTGTCTGATGAACAATTAGGATTTCGTTCGGAAAAAAAATAGTGCCACCGATACTGACTGAAAAATATATACAAAGTTCATAAAAGTGATGATACATGTTTTGTAAATTGCAAGAAGGCCGTTTACAGGTTGCAACATGGCCATATTATTGTAAAACTCTTTCACAGTCGAAGTAGGCGTAAAAATCTACTCTCAGCCTTCACAAACAATGTGCCGAAGCAGCTGCGCTTTCGAGGAAACATCAGCGTAATGACGTGGGGAAATAGGCCTCGGTAGACTGGTCCCAACCCCTAATGGAAATTTTTTTTTTTTAATCCCAGAAGCCAAAGTTGTCCGATAAAACGTCTGCCCGTGCTACTGCCAACTGCCAAAGTCTGTCCAACAAACGTCTGTCCGATGAACCAACTGTCCATTTGTCACTCTATCCATGCAGGTAGATTCGTAAGTTGCCTCCGCGACAAGATATATATATATCCCTATAATCTCAGTACCTAGTGCAAAATTTCGCAGCGAAATCCGAAGCCAGGGAATCATGACACAGGTCGGCCTGCCCCGGAGAATGTCTATGGAATAAACATCCAAAAGCAATTAATGAATGGAGACACCTACTGAAGATCGGTAGATTCCTGCTTTGTATGCTCCCGTTGTAGAGTTCTTCTTCTTATTATTATTGTATGCATGCCTCCAAAATATAGGATTATGTAAAGGCTGTTAGTATCATTCATAACCTATACTGGGAACAAAAAGCAACAGTCAGACACAAAAACCTAGTCTCGCCATAGATAGAGATTTAAAAAAGGAGTACCTTAAGGAGGTGTGTTATACCTACACATTTTCAACTTTTATACAGCTTGTATTTCGTTTACGAAATTTAAATTGTAAAAAATATATATGAATTCTGTTAATAATAACAGAGCTAGACCAGCAGTGAAATCTAGCTTACTATGGACCCCTAGAAATAGAAAAGCAGATGTGCTTACCAAGACTATATGAAACCTGATGCAGTCGCATCGATCTCAAGATGTATTAAAACGTCAAAGACACTCTTAAAACAACCTATGCAGATGAACTGGAGAGAAGACCGTAACAGTTACAGACAAGTGCATGTTGTAAAGCGTGGAAATAAAATACGATAGAAAACATACTATGTCATTTTGTTTTAAAATAAAGTAACAGACCCTTTTCCACGCCTAGGCGCATTGAGCAAATAGGGCTAGAGCTATTTTTTTTAAAGACCAATCGGCACTGGATGGGTGATGTGGTTAGCATCATGCCGGCCGACTTTACTTTCCCGGGACTGCACCTGTTGCCCATTCAAGGCTAGGTCAACCTGGGAAGCAAGGTCATTTCTGAAAAAAAAAGTCTGGCCTGTTTGCTCGATTACAGAAGGTATATATCAGTGCAAGAAATAGACTCGACAGCTTGATGACAACTGGCAAGACTGAAATAAAGGTTGATACAAGTTAAATCAAAGACCTTGATGGTTTCACGACATGCATGGGGTGGTCGACCGCGGGGGGGGGGGGGGAGCAAGGGTTGGATGGGGTACTTAAACACCACATCCCAATCCGTGAATCCGTTGATTGTATAGGATGGCGAATGATCGCATATGCTTTTTTTTGGGGGGGGGGGGGGGCATGACAAATGATGGTGGAATTCCAAGGAGAGATGGTGATGAACGATGTTTTCACTGACAACCTGGCGGTGAGCCAAACAGTTTGGGAAACATTGTTTTAAACTCAATTAGATCCTGTTGTGATAATTAAGTTGACGAGACAAGTTTATAGGGCTCAGTGTTTAACTAATGCAGTGATATTCCGCTGGTATTCATTATTCAGAACAGATGTAGAAATGAGGCCAGCATTCCAGACTGTTAATAATATTTTCACTTAGTCTTAGACTGTCTCTCTTTCTCCTTCCTACCAACTTTCCAGTTACCATGACGTACTTCGTACTCCAGTTTCTCTTTTTTTTTCCAGGCTAACTGACAGGCAATTTGACTGATTTTCTCCCCTTTTCAGTGTTCGCTTTGTGAGTTAAAATGATTGCCTTATCTGTTTTGATCCTTCAGTGACAACCCCCAAACCACTTACAGCCATCAGACCACGTACGTAAACGTGCCTGAAACAGGGGCTAGGGACAAATATGAAATCACGACTCCTAACTGGTCCCTTCCAGTAAACCCCACCGGCAATACGGTGAGTGTATCAACAAGTAAGGTGTGTGTTTGTTATAAATTATTAATTAGTCAAGAATTGACATCACTGGAGATTTTAGCTTAAACCTTTATCTCCTGCTGCTGGGCGATTCAGATTAATCGGGCTAGAGTGTTGTTTCTGAGACTAAGCGCTGCAGTAACACCTAGAGTTCTGAGGTGGGGGTGGGGGTGGGGGTTTCAGTGACTAATAGGAAATTTACGCAGACGGACGTTGGTTCACAGGCTACAGGTTATAAAACATTGATCTTCGTGACGCATACCAATGATGGCACTAGACGCCTTTTAAATTAAAAAAAAAATGTATGCCTACTTCCTATAACACAAACAGCACAAACTTGGGCATTAAATGGGTTGACAAAATTTAAGAAGACCTTGTCTTTGCTGACGACATAGGGCTTTTGAGTTTACCACACCCAGATATCCAAAAGAAATCAATTGGCAATGCACTCAGAATGGATAAGACAAGACTTCCATATCAAGCCCTCGAATAGATACCGGAATGGAAAAGAAAACATTGAAGATCAAGAGAGACTCTGCGTAGAACCATCATCACGGACGGCTCAACTATGGGCTTAATGAATATTCATGACGTAAGTCAGGTGACAACGAACTGCCAGACACGGAGAGCTATGACCTTTGCCCTATGCGCCACCTTAGGCTCAGAAGGAAAGACTAACTAACTATCCTACTGGCTAACCGTTGTGTAACTTACTGAATGTAATATACATTGGATGTTCAATAGATCTAATGTAATATGGTAGAATGTATTTTCACTCACATATTGTAACTTTGTGGAATGTACGCTTATTTAATTTAATGTAGGTTCAAAAAGCTATTCTTAGTTTAAAAAGAGAAGCAGAAATATAGCAGTAGAGTGTAACGGCATTATACAGGTATCTGTTTAAATTTCTGGGGACATTATTAATCGAAGATGGTAAATTAGATGACTACCTTAACATTCAATACAGTGAAGCAAATTAAATATTTGGACAGACAGTTCCCCTTTACAACATAAAACTACCCCAATCAGCACAAAGATGCATCTCATACACAGCATACTCATTCCAGCTCTATGCTACCAGTGCCAGACTTGGTCACTCACAACGAATCAGAAAAGAAAATTGGTAACCAGGGAAAGGAGATGTATGAAAAGAGCTGCAGCAGTAACAAACGAGATGAGAATCGGGAATGAGGTCACAGAAGAATAAGTCGGCACAGAGCCCATTCTAAATTATCTACAAAAACATCCATTCAACGGCATAACCAAAAGAGGAGATGGACGAAGATCAAAAGGTAGACCAAGAACATAAAGATCACAAGGAAGACCAACAACATAAAGATCACAAGGCAGACCAAGAACATAAAGATCACAAGGTAGACCAAGAACATAAAGATCACAAGGTAGACCAAGAACAAGATGAAAAGATAACCTCAAGAGACACTCTACAACAGCACAGCGTGTCTAGGATCTATACGGTCAGAAGAGCAAGAAACATGACTTGATATCTTCCACGACACTCGAAGCGGTAAAAGAGGAAATGAAAAAGAAAACAACAGCTATCTTTTTTTTTCTGAGTATTTACTTAACTGAAAGGCAAAACAGGGTCATGAGATAAACAGAATAAATTAGTAAAGCATCTCGTTAGATCATAATTTATCTACGGGTATCAAATCATACCGAGTGCCTAGCTATGAGCTCATTGGAGATGCGTTAAAAATTGCTTTGCGGACATTTCCTTGAGGAAGCACTCCGTTCTTATCTTCAGCAGCCAGGTAAAAGTTCCATTTCCTATGATACCAGTGGCAGTGTTTTTTTGTTTTTTTCTACCGTTTTTTTTTTTTTTTAGTGTAGTATGTGGTCGGAATCCCATGTTATTTCGCTGCACTAAATGATCTATTCACGCTTCACCGTTGCTTTAATGAGGCCTTAACCACATTTAGGTAGCCATGCATCAAGTTGCCACACAGTGCTGCAGCAACATGCAGTCTGTCTGCCTGTTCATTTCTCAACACACTTGCATACCCTGGAGAAAATACAAAAATACTACTGCCCCTCCATGATTCATAGCCAAACGTTAAACCTGGCTCTGTGTAGTATGCAAAAATGTGTTTAACCCCGGTGACGTGTGTTTATTGCAATAGTTGTTTTATATTTTATAAAATGAAATTTTAGCCTGACCTATTGGATTTGTGTGCGCGCGTGTGTGTGTGTGCGTAGGAGCGCATGCGTGCATGTGTGTCTTTGTGTGTGTGTGTGTGTGTGTCTTCTTCTTCTTCTTCTTCTTCTTCTTCTTCTTCTCTGTGATACATTTTCCGTCGAATGTTATTGATGAGCCTTGATACGTACATGTATGTATCTGTCGCAGTGTCTCTAATTAATTTTACCAAACCTGGGTGTTTATTACTTCAACTCCTTTAGATACCTGGTCTCCAGTTTTTTTTTCAGGAGGACCACCCCGCCCCCCCCCCCATGACTTTACAATAAGCACCCCACTCCCATGTGTATATAAGACCCCCCACCCACCAGACTTTATAAGACCCCCCACAAGAGTATATAAGACCCCCCCCCCAACAAGAGTATGTAAGACCCCCCCCCCCCACAAGAGTATATAAGACCCCCCACAAGAGTCATAATACCCCCCCACAAGAGTATGTAAGACCCCCCCCCCCCTTACACGAGTAAAAAAGCCCCCCCCCCACAAGAGTATATAAGACCACTACCCACAAGAGTATATAAGACCCCTACCCCCACCAGAGTTTATAAGACCCCCCCCCCCCCCACAAAAGTATATAAGAACCCCCCCCACCCACAAGAGAGTATATAAGACCCCCCCCCACAAGAGTATATAAGACCCCCCCCCCAACAAGTTTATAAGACCCTCCCACCAGAGTATATAAGACCCTCCCACCACAGGTATATAAGACCCCCCCCCCACCAGAGTATATGACCCCCCCCCCACAAGAGTATATAAGACCCCCCCCCCCATGAGTATATAAGACCCCACCTCCTTGAGTACATAATAAGACCTCCATGAGTATTTAATAAGACACCGCCCACCCCAAAGTGTATATAAGATCCCCCCCCCCCCTTTTTCCATGAGTATATAATAAGACTTTTCCCACTTGATTACATAATAAGACCTCCATGAGTAATAAGACATCCATGAGTAATAAGCCCCTCCAAAAGTATACACAACGCCCCATGAGTACATAAAAAGAACCCCCCCCCCCCCAAGAGTATATAAGACCCCCATGAGTATATAACAAGACCCCTTGACAGGACACCCACAAGAGTATATAAGACCCCCCTTTCCCAATGAGTATATAACAAGGCCCCCCCCCCCCTCCTTGAGTATATAATAAGACCCGTCCCCCCCCCCATTAGTATATAATAAGACCCCCCCCCCCTCCCCCGCCCCCCCCCCCCTCATATTGAACCCCCCCCCCCCCTCCCATGAGTATATAATAAGGCCGTCCCACCCCCCTTGAGTATTAATAAGACCCCCCCCCCTCCCCATGAGTATATAATAAGGACCCCCCCCCCCTCCTTGATAACAGGACCCCCTCCTTATATAATAAGACCGCCCCCCCCCCCCCATTAGGATAATAATAAGACCCCCCCCCCTGCCCAAAGTATATAATAAGGAATCCCCCCACCATAAGTATATAACCAAGGACCCCACCCCCCATGAGTATATAATAAGGACTCCCCCCCCCATAAGTATATAACAAGGACCCCCCCCCCCCATGAGTATATAATAAGGACTCCCCCCCCCCCATAAGTATATAACAAAGGACCCCCCCCCCCCATAAGTATATAACAAGGACCCCCCCCCCCCATGAGTATATAACAAGGACCCCCCCCCCCCCCCCCCATGAGTATATACTGAGACCCCCAGTGAGTATATAACAAGGCCCCCCTCCCCCATGAGTACATAATAAGACCTCCCCCCCCACACACACACACACCACACACACACACACACACACACACACAAACACACACACACACACACACACATATAACAAAATGTGTTTAAACAGAGCAGGACACAAAAACAAATGCCAGGTACTGTTAACAAGAACTGTAAGAAAATCGTCCACAAAATTCAAAGTGTCCAGTAACAAAGAAACAATGACCGTCCACCGCTAATTTAGTTTCCAAATAATAACGTGAGGGGTAACACACTGTTTTGTCTTGATGCCATCTGTTTTTTTGGTCGGGTGTTCTACGAGGCACAACCGAGATCATTGTCCACATCAAGCTGGCAGAGCTGTTTTGTTTTCATAACTGTTGAAGCTGAGAAATGTGATTATTACGAATACAGAACCACCACCAGCATTGTTTTCTTTCTCCTGAAATTTCCACACCCCCTCAACCCCTCTCTCTTTAATTTTTTTTTTTTTTTTTCTTATTGGATTTTTATTGCTAAATATTCCGAAAGAGTAAAGGTAAATGGCGGGTTTACACTACTTCTTTCAGAAGACACATTCCTTAGAAATCAGTGACCAGAAACTGCTAGATAGCACCGGGGGGAAGAGCACAACACTCAGCATTGATATCGTCCCCGATTATTTGTTCTTCGCTCTCTTCTCGGTTTTTCTGTGTTGTCCGCCAATCGGTTTGATGGCCACATACAAGGCAGCGTTGGTAATGTATGCAGTATGCTGTTCGTTTATTTATTCATTAATTTTTCTGTAAGTTATCGCTGATTTTTCTGTAATATATTTATTATTCATTTATTATTCATGATTTCGTTAATTCATTCGCTACTGATTGATACTTTCATCGTTCATTAATTCATTCATTATTTTATTTATTCATCATTCACTGGCTTACTAGATAATGTATCCCGTTTTTTTTTTCAAGTGCCGCTGGAACTAAATCAGCCATACGCTCAGAATGGGTAAGACCAGACTCCCCCATCAAGCCCTTGTATAAACACCGCAAGAGTAGGAAACAGACAAGACCAGACTCCC